CCTCTACTGAACCATGGAATGTGCTCAACCAGAAGAAAAACATTGAGGGCGCGTTCTCGTGGCGTCTGCTTTAACTTTGCTACTTCCCTAGGAAAAGGGAAGAATGCTGTTTTGAGGCACAATGAGGAACGGGGCACAACCTGTTGTATAGTTGAAATTTACTGCGCCTTAATGGACGGCTTTCGCTGGAACGGAAGCCGGTATCCATGGCTACAGTTATTGAGACGGTTACTGTTGATTGAGTGGATTACTGTATTTCTTACTGTGTTGCAGATGGCTCTCAATGACCTTCCACCGATACCATTTGCCGAGCTTGAACATATTTTGCCGGACACGGTGAGTCAATGCTCTGATGTTGAAAGTTTCTAAGGGATATGCTCAGGAACAGAGTGCCTTGACAGGAGCCAGATTTCCAGTTCAATGCCTTGAGGATATCTTGAGATTGGGGTAGTAACAGTTCAACAGTGCCAAACTCTGCTTTGCGGTCAGAGCGCATTTATACTCCCTCAACCGAATAGGTATCCAGTGAAGTACTCATCAATGAATGAAATCTTTTCTGATAGGTACTTGAGTACACTGGAAATTTCTGAGATGTGGTAGGCGTAGCTACGTACTTCAACTGAAACATTGTGGTGGTTGTGCTTCTAAAGAGATATTTTCATTTTAACAAAATTAAGGTCGTGTCTCTGTTCAACCCTGAACAAATGGCAGTTGTCCCAAATTAAAATGTGTCACGGCTAACCCATTCTTTAACATGTTCAAAGGCCAGACCTACTCCGTCTCACGGATGAGGAGTGTACATAATAGATCTTATATTTATTTCACACAATCTGGGTGATGCTGTATTCATGATCTAATGAACTAATTGTAGTTTTTTTTGCAGGTAAAAAACAAGATCGCCATTCTGGAAGCTTGATCGAGCCAGCATACAAGCATTTTCGCTGATTACCAGGGCATGCAATGAGTGCGTATCACATAAAATGTGACTTCTTTTATTGATTTTGGACTTTAATCTAATTCAAAACGTTGATTTCTAGTAAATTTTTTATTACACGGCGGCTGTGACCCTAGAAACCCCAGCAGGAAGGTTAGTTGGGAAATAGTGTGATCCGTCACACTATGTACCTAGCCTTTCTGCTGGGTCAAGGAACCGCACTGTTGGGAGGATCCCACCAAGGGGTGGGGGGGGGTCCTACTCTAGTCTGTCTCTAGCGTTATGGACGGCGAAATTTTTGATACTTCCCTTTAGCTTTTACCTCACGGAGCTTATAAAAAGAAAACTGCCAAAAGAATCTCGAAAACTCGCGTAAGAAAGGTAGGCATATTGAAAGAAATCTGGAGGAGGGAGAAGGCGGGTGGTCATACCACAGATAGGAATTCGGAGAGAAGGGCGGGGGGCGAGCGTATCGAAGATCGCCATCTCGCACGTTTACGATGTGTACCATTTGCGTAGTTCAAGGACGTTGGCGAGAACAAAAGGCCCTATATCTTGTGGCCTAACTGTGCGCAATAATTTTGGAGCACTGAAACACTTATTGTTAGGCCGTAAACCCTTTCATCAAACCGGCGTGAAGGAGGGTGAACTCCGGAATTTCCCGATTAGAGGATCTGTCGGGGAACGCACAATGGCAATGTTAGCGATGAAGGTCACACTCCATAACTCAGTTTTGGGAAGGGAGTGTCCGTACGTGGTTGTGAGAGCGGCCGCAGTAGACCATTGCCAGTTCAGGCTCAAGAGGAAGACGGGACTGAATAACTGAGATCTCAGCGGGCAAGACAACGGCATACCAACCTCCTCTGCCTGAATAAAACTTGTGACAGTTACACCCTGCGCAGCTCATAAACAATATCCGCCAGACACTTCCTCCTCCAACGCGAAGAAATGAACTTAAAAGTCGGGCCACCAAATATTTTAGTTTTATTTTTTTAATTGTTCCAGTGTCTGTCTCGTGCTACGCCAGGGCCCAAGGCTACGAATTTCGCATCGTATTTCCTTCTCAATACTCCAAGCAATGTCCTCACGAAGATGTTTGTCATAATTTTTTTTTTACTTTTTCATCCACTGATTACATTTGTAATTTTAGGTTTATCTGCGGCGCCACTGTGTGGTTGCCCATATTTTACCGAATTATCATACAGTTTTATATATAGACGCAGATATGGGTGTTGTCAACCCGAAGAGGTGCTTCCCAACTGGGAGAGATTTTATGGATTTAAAAAAGTTTTCAGAGAAACAGATATGAGGAGACCCGCGACTAGCAATCGGTGTGTCAATCATGATTACAACTACTGTCAAGAAATACAATTTAGAAGAATCGAGGAGTATATTGATGACAACGTTGAAATCACTTTCTTTGATCGTTTCTATAACTGGGAAGTTGCGGCAGGATCGTATATAGTGCGGAATACAAAGTGGGCACAGAATTTTCTCAAAGGTTCTGAATAAGCACAACTTTTTCTGTCGATGTGAAGGAACAGTTGATCTAATCAATGAATCTCGTTTTGTTTCTTCAAGGTTTCGCTGACTACGAATATAGACTACCGGCTCAATACCATGGCACAGACAATGGAGCATTGCATGTGAGTCAATGTTTCACCAAAATGAGGAAGCAACAGGATCTGGGGAATACTGGAATTACAGTCTTGTTCGCTGCGGACTCTAGATCCTTTCAGGGAGGAGATGGCTGAGTTAGGAGCGGCGCCAACCCGTTCACCACCAGTTGTGGAAGCTGGCATGTGAGCACAATTGGTGAAACTGGCTGGCACCGCGCCAAACCCAGTTCCCTGAAACGCCTAGGCGTCCGCAGCAAACGGGACTGTAGAATAGGCTGAAGAGCCACCTGACCTCCCTTGCACTAGGCTGGAGCCTAAGCTCCGAGTCACACTTTTTGAGTGCTCCTTGAAAACCTACTAATGATAGCTAAGCTTCTGAAATCATGTACAAAGCCGTTCTAAAGCTACAGATCAGATACGTTTCGAATCAGGTCAAGGTATTGCCTTGCTCATATTTCCTCAAAGACACTTCCCGCGATCAAGTGATCAGCGAAATGCCTCCGTGCATTTGGCATCGTTGTCCGCACTCGCAGAGAATATACCACTTTCGTCACTCGAAATGGCGAGATAACGAAGCTAGAGACGCGTGAGTATTGCGTGCAACAGTGTACCTTAACTGCTCATAAGCGACAACGGCTCATAAGCGGAATTGCTGGTGCACATGGCGTCGCCTGGAGCGTCGGGCGCTTGCCTATGCTCTTGCCGGTAATTGGTTGCACGACGAATCCTGTTGACATGGCGCTTGCCCTTGTGACTCATTTTGCTT